TACACTATATCTTGCATTTAAAGACCGATATTATTCAGAGATCATACAATCCTCATCAATAGTGACATTAAAACACATTTTATGCTTAATAATAAGAAATGTGCATTGTTCACAAGTAGTACTCCAAAGTTTAATTATAATTTTAATATCAGTATCAGTATAATATCAGTAGGTATAGAGTGATATGTCAGTAAATATGTTAATAGATTTGAACTATATTAATATGAAATTAATGTATTTTAAATATATTACTTTTTTACTAGGGTGGCAACGGTGATAATCATTAACAAAATGCCAATGAATTCCAGTGAAAGTAACAAAATGTATGATGATTATCATCATGCAGGAAAACTATAGGGCAAAAGACATGAACTAATATATAACATGCTGCAGCAGGCAACAGCTGCTTCTGGACTTGTATTCACACTATAAGCAGCTGTCAGTCTGCCGTTCAGCAGCGCTCTGCTTACGGCCCTGTGTGATCCGAGTAGACATTCACTGATGGGCAGCAAGGCATGTTGGGGGGAGTCCCTGTCAGCCTGATGTTCTTTTAACCGCACACATCAAGCACCCAGCAACTTGCCTATAGGCTTCATCGCAGGGGGTCTATTGTGCTCCGAGACTCGGCTGCCCTTTTAACCTGATCTGACGCCAGTTCCCCGCTCTTCCGTTTTACTCTCGGTAATCACAGCAGAAGCATCTCAACTGTTTTCAGATCAGCTACAAAAGATTGCATGTTATGTCACATTTATGTGTGAATATATATCAGCTCACGCTTGGCAAGAATCAAGCTGGATGTAAGAACTCCGCATTAGGGTCAGGTTCTGATGATCCACAATGCTTTATATCACTGCTTTGATGTACCTCTAATACAACAGAAAGAGATCAATTCATACATTAAACATGACTTCATTATTTGAATGACTCTGGAGTAAGTGCTTGTATATTGACTATGAATAAATCTCAGCAAACTGGCAAGCCAGCCTAAAGGTTCTGGTTTATTTTAGCTATCAGCGATGTAGTTTGCACTGTAAAAGCCCACGTACAGTGCCAAAATTACTTCTTCCTATTACACCGGCCTAATGCCATTAGCTGCCTTTTAGCAGATACTTTTTATCCAAAGCCGCTTTAATCATGTAATCCATCACTCGTGTAGAATGCAGCGTTCCGGTATTGTTACGTTTTGAACCCGACCCAAAAAGGACTCAAATGATCAACTCTCTGTTTATAAGTCCTATTTATCCATTACATCACTAAGCCAAGACCTGCTTGTGGCGAATGCATAAAGTCTTTGGCTGAAAAATCTCGTTCAGTGCTGGGCAGTGACAGATAATGCTTTAAATAGCAGAGCAAGGCTTAAAAAATGAAGTCATTGTTGGATTTTGTTACAGGACTGCAGACAAATTGGGTCTTTTTTTTTCCAATGACAAGTTCAAGTTACAGTTAAATAACTTCTCAGCTGAGAGAAAATATTTCATTCTCAAAGATCACAGGAAATAGTTCCTGTAAGCTGTAGTTGATTGTTGCTTTTATATTAGGTGCATGGTAATGCTGTCTTAATGTAAATAAATATTAATGTGTGATTGTATATTATCCCTCTTATTAGTTACTACTCCTGGAGCCAGCTGGTGCATACTTTGAACTTTCGCATGTTATTGTCAAACATACCAAATAATTAAAGCTAAATTAAATAATTCATAATTAGGAAATATCTGACCCCTGAATGGCATGACTGATCAATTGGAATCAAGTCTTTAAAAGAGCCACACACAGTATGCATACAATATATAATACTACGCAAATACAGATATGACATGATTTTTTAAATCTCCAGCAAGTCTAAATTTCTTAAATCAATTGATTCTACCATATTTGCAGGAGGGCTGTGTTATGGAGGTGAACCGAGAGGAAGGGTGAACTACTTCCAAGTTCCAACCCAGAAACCAGCATGTACCTAGACTGAACACAATAATGCATTACTAGGTATTAATTATTTCCTGCCATTGTCATTAACGAAGCTGCAATTAATTGCTGTATATTTCCACATGAGTAGCAATAAATGCACCTGTCTTAACATGAATCTATCTTAATGGACTCAAGTCATCTTCTCTTGCACTTGGGCAGGATCCAGACCTCACAAAGGCTGCCATTTTATGAATCTAACTTTATTTGCTGCACTCTCTGGCCACTGGCCTACACGATTACTGCAGTCTCTATATCTAGTTAGGACTTTTTCGATTAGCCAGTGCTAAAAGCGGTGGATTTGATTTCAAACTCTTTTTATTAGGTTTACCTAACGAGGACAGTTAGACCACAGAGCAGATACTCTCTCCTGGATCTCCAGTAAATACTATTACATCTGCCTGCTCAGGAAGCCAGGGAAACTCAAAATGTTATTCACACTGCTCCGCTGTCAAAATAACATGGGCCTGAAACCTCACAATCCATTCTTCATCCAATACAATGGCCTAATGCAAGGTGTAGGAGACAGGTCGAGACAATCAACAACTGGAGTAAACAAAAACATATTTCCCATCCTCCGCTTTCAACAGTAAAATAACCTGATATTGATTAACTGAAATTCACACTTATTGGATTAAAAATATAGATTTTTACCTTAAACTGGAAAATTTTACATTTTCCCACTATATCCCAAATACTCATGCCTAATTCACTAAATAAATGTGTTTTATACTGTGGGCGATTCATTTTATTGATTTTTTTTACATTGTCATCTATATGCCACATAAGATTTTGTGAATGCTGATGATGACAAGTTTGCTAAAAATTGATAATCATTATGGGTGACCGGCTTTGTTTAACTTTCTTTAATTATTTCAGTCAGTCCTACTTGATGAGTTTTCATTCACTATCTTCATCAATAAATGTCAAAGTGCTAGAAAACAAATAGTCAACTCATCAAACATTACCACGGGTTTGCCTGAAAGTTTGTTTTAGTAGGTTGATGTTTTTCTATAGTCACCCCCAGGTTAAAAAAAAGTACACTTCCATAATGTACTTAAAGTGCTCTATTTTCACACACTTATTTTGTACTTAATATACTAAAATGGTTCTTTAGTACTTCCTACACTTGGGTAAAATAGGGACAAACCCAGCAATTGGGTTGT